AAGATATTAATCGAAAAAAGACTATGCAATACTAAATATAACCTGTCTACAAAGTGTGTCTGCCACCGGGAAGTATCAATTTCAAAATTAGAACGGAAATAACAGACCAAATTTGAATTGCAAATCCTGAGAATATATGGATTACATCAACAAATGTACAGTGCCATTAAAATAATCCTAACTTAGTTTTAGTTGACATTATGATAGAGTATTTTTTTTAAATAATTACGTCTGCGTCAGCTTACAATAAAAGACAGAAAAGGAAAATAAATAAAATATGCCTCATCATAATGAAGTACATTAATTATCGATCCTATATTTTGAGAAGGTGGTGTCGACATACAACTGGGTTACACAAAGACCCACAAGGACGGACTACTTTAAATAGTCTCACTGAAATGCCGGTACCTGTTTTAGGACATTCCCCCTGTCACGTTATTCTGTAACTGATCAGAGTTGCCAAGAGAGACAACGCTAAACAATGATTGGAGGTGAAAAGGAAAGAAAGAGGTTCTAGGTATTACAAAGAGATCCGATTAATTTGGTTTTTAAATGTTCCATAAGCAAAAGTCACATAGGAAACCTCAAATACTGCAGGAGGGGGAGTTAATTGTCTCACGCGATCATGCAATCAGATACACCAGGTATATCCCTTATTCGAACATGAACGGTAACTTATAATAAACTTTCCAATGTTTGGTTGTCAACATTTCCAATTAGTTCTCCAGCGAATTATAATTTAAGATAAAGAGAGAGATGGGAGCATTAATTAAGCAATCATTGACAAATCACGATGAGTATACGTCAAGCTGGAGCTCCTCAAATCACATGAAGAAAAAAAAATAAAGAAAAAATAGTGTATGGCCCGAACAAACGAAACTTATCCGTACATTCAAGGGTAAAATATTAGCTTATATAACTACACTAACCTTGATATTATCGGACTAGCTTTGCAAGTAAAGCCGAGTTATAAACCAATGCAGCAAGACAGATTATCGTTTGCAGCATGACAATTAAAAGAGCTACTGCGTCACACGTTCGTTCGGCACAATAAATATGAAAGCGTAATTGTATTACGATCTCATATTTTCTGCTTAAACCCCGTATAACTAATAATCTTCATATGCCCGAAAGACCATGCCTGTAATGGTTTCATAAGCATCGTTTGAACATTGGCGCCAGATAAAAACCACACACTTCGTTATGAATATATTCGATTACCATTAAAAACGTAATTAGCTGTTATAATATATCAAGAACGTGTCATTATGTTGCTTTAATTATTCTGGATACACCAAGCTCTGGAGGGTCGGGCAATAAAGATACATTCATCTCGTTATTAAACTAAGTTATTAAGTCGAGTTATTATCACCGCGTGAAGTTGGGTAAATGTATTTGCCCGTATAGCATGTTTTAATTGTTTGTTTAATTTGTGTGGGGTTTAACGTCCAAGCAACAACAGCCAGGGTCATATATGGTGACGGGTGTCTAGAGAGATACCACCTAGAGACAGGAGTAGTAAAAGAGAAAAGGAAAGAGATATCCCAAGTGTTGTAATGTGGGAAGCAGATCAATATTGGTATCTTCAGTCTCTTCTGAGTAGAAAACAACAGAAGAAACCCTCAATTCTTCAGAGTGGTCCCACCTACGTCGTCTCTTACACTATACAGTGAAATACATCAGGTCTGTTCTTTCCTGAACCTGCACAGGGTGTTCATCAAAATAAAATAAGGATTAAAGTTGCTGTGTATATCAGAATAATATACAATGTTATTACTAGCAAACAAACGGAGTTGTTTTCATAATGCGGATTAACAGTTGACATATGAAATTATTGTGATAGTGCAGGTTAACAGTTAACCAATAGAGTTATTGTCGCAGTACGAATTAACAATAAACAAATAGAGTTACAGTGCCATAATGTGCATTAAAAGCAAACAGACTTATTGTCATAATGCGCACTAACAATAAACAAACAGACTTATTGCCATAATGCGCACTAACAGTAAACAAACAGACTTATTGTCATAATGCGCACTAACAGTAAACATGTATAGAGATATTGTCATAATGCGCATTAACAGTAAACAAATAGAGTTATTGTCATAATGTGCATTAACAGTAAACAAATAGAGATATTGTCATAATGCGCATTAACAGTAAACAAAAATAGTTATTGTCATAATGCGCATGAACAGTAAACAAAAATAGTTATTAACCTAATGCGCATTAACAATAAACAAATGGAGTTGGTAAACGAACGAAAAGGAGTTGTTGCCATGGCGTGAGCTAAAAACAACACAAGTATTGGTAAACAAATGGAAATGTTGTCATGGCGTGAGCTAGGAACACTACAAGTATTGGTAAACAAATGGAAATGTTGTCATGGCGTGCAACACATAAATACTAGTTAACAGATACAATTGTTGCGATAGCTAGGAACAATACAAGTATTGGTAAACAAATGGAGTTGTCATGGCGTGAGCTAGCAACACTACAAGTATTGGTAAACAAATGGAGTTGTCATGGCGTGAGCTAGGAACACTACAAGTACTGGTAAACAATGGGAGTTGCTGTCATGGCGTGAGCTAGGAACAATACAAGTACTGGTAAACAAATGGAGTTGTCATGGCGTGAGCGAGGAACACTACAAGTATTGGTGAACAACTGGAGTTGCCATGGCGTGAGCTAGGAACACTACAAGTATTGGTAAACAAATGGAGTTGTCATGGCGTGAGCTAGGAACATTCCAAGTATTGGTAAACAAATGGAGTTGTTGTTATGGCGTGAGCTAGGAACACCCCAAGTATTGGTAAACAAATGGAGTGGTTGTTATGGCGTGAGCTAGGCACATCCCAAGTATTGGTAAACAAATGGAGGTGTTGTTATGGCGTGAGCTAGGAACATCCCAAGTATTGGTAAACAAATGGAGTTGTTGTGATGGCGTGAGCTAGGAACATCACAAGTATTGGTAAACAAATGGAGCTGTTGTCATGGCGTGAAACAATACAAAACAATAAAACAAATTAATGGCGTGCAACACATAAAAACTAGTAAACAGATACAAAAGTTGTAATAGCTAGGAACAATACAAGTATTGGTAACAAACATGTACTATCTCGTGCCAAATCATTTGTTTTACCTTTAGTTAAAAATATGAAACTTGACAAAAGACTATTGATAAAAGTTAAAGAAATACTTGATCAATCAAACATGTATAGATGTTTCAGTGGATTTTTGTTATAATTCATGCATATATTGCTCAAGTAATACATTCAACATACGTTAGAGTCCAGGTAAGAAACGTTTGTGATATACAGAAAGTGGTGTATGATGCTAGAGCCAGCAAATACGTAGAAGTGTAAGTTTAATCAAGTATGTTCACGGTCTCCAATAAGTTATAACATAGGTGTTGAAGTTAAAGTAATTTCCAGGTGTGCTTATGAAACTCGGGGATTCATTCCGTTTACGCCGGTACGTTAGAGATGTTTGTGTTTTACGTCATATTAACAGCTATGGTCATTTAAGGACGTGCCAAGCTTAGCTCTCCTCTCTGTAAAAACGGAATTCATCTTACCATTGGGATTTTTAAAGTTATAAGCAGTGTAAGTTGTTTTTGTGTGGAATTATTTACCTCAGTATTAAATTAAAAAAAACTGATGTTCTGTCCAAAAATAAATTAATTACATCTTTCATCATTCATTCATGAAACAATCAATCGCTTTGTCTCTGCCATAGTAATTAATTACAGGTGACGGGTAGCCACACTGACTGTAATAGGATGTAAATATGAAGGATCTTAGTACAATAAGGATTTACGCGAGGAGGAGTTGTCCCCCCTTTTTTTTACACAAGCAGGTGCTATAAGCTATATGTATATGTAAATAGTAATCCAATCCAACACCAATCTGATTAAAATCATATGTTACATGGCTTCGTTAACTTCGTACTACGCCAGGCGGAGCCATGTAACAGATGATTTTAATCAGATTGGCTTTCTTGGAGAGAGCTGGTTGTTTTCACCCTCTGACCCAAACAGTTTGTTTTTGAAAGTAGAAACTTCATTAATTTTGATGTGCGAATTATCTGTCTTCTCCGTCAGTTTCCGGTGATCTTTGATGGAATGGTTCCCGTATCCAACGGAGACATACAGTCACAATCCTCACTTCCTCAATTATATCAATGAAGCAATTGTATATAAATTGAGTTCTAAAAAATATCCAATGCTCAATCCATAAGGATTTAGTAGCTGTTATATCAAGGTTAGCCTGTAGACTTATGAGTGCATACTTGTATTAGTACCAGATGCCTCTAACATTGGCAGGACATTTCTAAAAAAACACGGTCAACCACTACATTGTCGTCTTGTCCCAACTATGTGAGCTTGTCTATGATGTTTTTGTAATGCTTGCAAAATTACCGTGGTATCTCACTCACACGTCAAATAAATCTTAAACATTACTACAAGGGTGGGGGGGGGGGGGGGGGGGGATAAAACAGCCAGATTATGCATTAACATTTTTTGCTGCAATACTGTTCTTACTATTTACATGTATATATACTCTGTTCGTAAACTTTCTATGTAAAACATTAATAAGGATACGCTCCATCTTGTTATACATGTATATTTCGTGGGAGTGGTTCTGAAATTTGTAATTAGATACATTTTGATAACCAGAAATCACACAATTTTAATAGCTTCTTCGTGATTTGTAGCCGAAATAAAAATAAATGTGCGTCGGCCGGGAGTCGAACCCGGATCGACTGCTTGGAAGGCAACCATGCTGACCGTTACACCACCGACGCATTGATGATGAGGAAAGAAATATAATATATAAAGCTAAGATCACATTACACACAAACTATATTTGGAAGTTCAATATGGTAATATATAGTTATAACAGTGATGTTTATTTATTTATTTGTAAACTGCTTAACAATTGATATATTGATTGGCGTATCTTTATATTACCAAAACAAACTACTTACCGCCGGTGTTTTCACTTCCGCCGAATTCCAACATGGCATCCAATTTTGACGATGACCAGGCGGGTAAGTTGTTTTTGTGTTTTTGACGGTTTCTTTTGATTCTACTCTGTATGATTTTGAGTATCTTTTGTAAAACAAATTACGGGAAATGGATATTAGCATGTCTGATATGTGTATCATTCAAGTAAATCACAAAATTTCCCGTTAAATATAGCAAATGTTACCTTGTTTTGGCAAAATCATGTGTGTCATGACATGGAACACCATGTTGCACTTGTTACAACTATTCATGGACAAATTATGTTATTTTTTAGTTAAGAGTTGAACGTTATTGTTTAATTTATGGTTTTGGTTATACGTGTGGTAAACAACATGAGTTGATTAGAAACCTCAAGCTAACAATGGGTTCCCGATATGCTCGGGGGTGTTCTCAAAAGTAATTTCACAAGAGCGATACTCGCGTGTAACACTACAATATGTGCAACTTCTTGAATGAACTTGTTCTGACACGAGCTTGGCTTTAACTGTGATCAGTTCAAATCGTCAGTCGTGAAAACTTGAAACAGAGACAACTTGTTCGGGACTAATTCGACATTTAAGTGGAAAAACAGTCAATTAAATATGAGTGTGTGTTGTAAGTATTCCTATAACTTTTTTATCAAGATTCCTTCTGTAGCTACGGTAAGTCTTGGGGTGTTGCAGATTTCAGTTTATTGTTTTGGTGTAGATGGTTGTCACAACATGTGGATGAAAACCGGTGATTAATAAGAAACAATTATCATTTTAGTTTCAATTACATTGAATTGAAAATATTTATGGTGCATGGATTAAGTTCAGTCTGTAAAAAGGGGTAGTATAGTTAATATTAATTGAATATATATATATATATATCTGATTGGGGACAGGTGTTCAGTAAATGCTAAGTGATTCATGTTGGTGATTTTTTTCTATTTTCTTTCAAAAGAAAAGCAAAAATATAGCAATAAATCAAGACATATATTTCTGTGAATCTACAGATTACCTCAACAAGATTAATATAAAGTGACAACAACATCAACACAAATAAAATAATTGGTTTGTTTTGACAACAAATTTCAATCATGTTTCACCGCTTTGTAAGAAATCTAAAGAAATCACGACCTAGATACAAGTATAAGATGCTTGTTCACTTAATTGGCTCTTAATCATGGAAATGAGGAATGTACAAAGATGTAACATATATTGGTTAATTTATCAAAACAGCAAGTGAGAACTCCTTGAAATTATATAAATCCAGGTCTATATATTTGTTTTGTTGAATTAAAATATTTAGGGTATTTTCTATATAGACACCATTATATGCCTAGTAAATGTAAGGTGACAGTTACCCAAAATGGATCGCTAACCATAATTTTCGTCATTCATTGTCAATTCAGTGAATGAATATCCGTTTATGGTTTTATCAAAATAGGAATAATATCACTGGCCGGGTGTTCTTCCCAACAAAATTAACACACCCTTGGCTTACACGAGATATTTATAGAAAACTCTGATGTCACCAATTAGTGATCCCCTTTTTTGAAATGTCAGTACCTAAAACGGATTATCACAACTTGATTTTTGCAATATTGTTTTGCTTCAAATGAACATTCAATGTTCTCAATTTATTTCTACAGTCCGAAACAGAATATGTATACTAATAAGACCTCGCATGCGCCATTTTATAACAAAGTCAACAAAAAAGTTGATTTGGAGTGTGAAATATGTCTTCTGACTGACGCTATATGAACTTAAAAGTTAACCATCTCTTGTCACTCACAGTGATGCAAAACAATTCATTATAAGAACAAATCATTGTAATAACTTAACTGTTGACATATTTATTGATTTGCAAGTATTTTTGCAAAGAGTGATCTGATTTAGTTACTGGTGTGATTTGGGTCCTGCCATCTAGGTCTGTCACTCTGGCAGTTTGTTCAATTGAGTGTTAATGTTCCAGCTGTATTGACACCAACCAGCATATCAACAAAATGATATGTAACATATATATTATATGCGTTCTGTTAAAATGAACTGGTTTATCAGGAATGTCGCATTTGAAGGTTCCAAGTTGCAATTGGATCTACTATAGAGGCCAGTAAAACGTTTTCATTTCAGGTGATCACTAAATCATATACATCTAGGTGCACTAGTTTATCAGATTTAAATTTGCATATATATATCTAGAGAAATACGATTTGAATACGCTATTCCTTATAACAGACTAGTTTCATTTAGTTAACAGTCCACTGGAACATTCTGCTAAATGAAATGTATGGTTAGTGAATGGTCATGTAGGCTTTTAAATTCGCTTAGTTTAATTACTGTTACATTTAAGAGAATTATGTTGCCCCAAACCACAACCTAGCATGTACAGTGTAAACATATGTAGTAACATGTTCTTTTATCAACTTATAATTTCAGATGGTATAGAACCGATGGATTTCTCTTTCCATGAAGACGAAGATCTTGCTGTTTCTAGGTATTTATTCTTGCATATTTCTGTACCAAGTAATAATATACAGACAAAAAATGACATTTAATTTTATAACAACTTTATATCCTATGTAATTTCAATTTGTTAATAAATAGAATAACCTCCCAAAAAAAATCTTTGAAATTTGCATTAATCAATTTGCATTTGCACTTTGCATTAATCTATGAAGCTGTTATAGATATGCATAAAAGTCTAAATTTGTACTTAAAATCTTATTTTTATACATGTAGTGTTAATTACTACTTCAGTTGGTCTTGTTTTTGTCATTTTAGTTCCAATGCTGTAGATACCAAGTTTGACGAGACAATTGGGCATGTTGAGGATATCATTATGGGTGGGTCTTCTTGAAGATTGGAATATAATTGGTTTTCCCTCCGGCCTCCACAGTGTTCTGTTCAAAATGTTTCATAATAAGTAGGATCTTGGATAATATATGTTTGAACAGAAAAGTGTTGCATACATCTATATATCTACCTTCATTACTTTTAGAAAGATGCAGTTTAAATATTATTTTGATGTTCAAAATAACATAGAAAATAGTTTTTCATTTTTCTTGTTGGTTTCTTTCAGTTCATCATACATTTTAAACAAATTGTTTATATAACAAATGGTTGTGTGGACAGCCATTTTTGTTAGAAAAAGTAATGTTTTTTTTTGTGGTTGCCAGTTCTGTCGGGTGACAAACATCGGTCAAAAACCATTCAGAAACCAACTATCTTTTGATAAGGAACCTTTTTATAAACAGTCTATAAGTAAAAGCTGATGTTTCAACTTTGCTGAATTGCTAATCAAGTCATTTCAGAATCAACTAAACTGTATCCTCTTGTTTTCATTGCAGATGATGATTTTCAGAGAATACAGAATGAATTTTTAGAAAAATATTACCAGGAGTTTGATGACACGGAAGAAAACAAATTTATATACACAGACATCCATAGAGAATATGTAAGTTCACAAGAGGTGATGACAGCATCATGGTTAACAAAAAACTTGATGGGTTTTGATGCCTTTCTCGAGACTCTACCTTTTAAAAAATTATATGTTTTGTGTAAGGTGATGAGCCTGCAGTCACTTTAAAGGGGCTGGTCGGGGAAAAAAATACAAAATAAGTGGGTCTAAATGCGTTCTCTGGCCTTCCAAAAGTTATACCACAGCAATATGATGGACGAGTTCTGCTTGCAATGTCCAGTTTTGACCACTGAAATCTCGGGGAAGCCCTGCGTAAATTTAGCGCAGATCTATTTATATATGTCACATGGTTGTTTCGAAAGTGAGGCAGTGAAGATAACAACAATAGCACGCCGTCATGTGCCATGTCGGACTCAACTAGCGGACAAAACAGCAATATTATACGTAAATAATTGTTTTCAAAGGTCATGTATGATGCAAGTGTAGTATTCCTACCTATATGTTGTACCTCGTGCCTGTCATGACTTTGGCATGCATCTTTTTCTTTTGCCGCGATGTTTACATTTGGCTTTGTTGATGACACGCGTTCGGTAAAATAACATCACTGATCTGGGTCAATTGAGAGTTTTAGACTGTCAGGTTGCGATTTAGGATTTCTTTAATATAATTATATTTTTTACTCTTTTGGAGTGAATTTCAGCAAAATTTGAATCAGTATATTTCATAAGAAGGTATTTTAAACATGTGTATGCCATTTTAGCAAATATGACATTTTTTCCCCGACCAGCCCCTTTAATGTATTAACAGTTTATGAGCACCTTATTGAGAAAATTCCAGTTTTGAAAACTGGAACTAGAAAAAAGACTGATATGTAAGATGTCTGCTTTCCAGTTCAAAATCTTGGGAAATCCAAGCATTTAAAGAACAATTTCTGCTACAGAATGTAACAGATTACTGATCATTATTTTGTTTCGTGTAAATCAGATTATGGGCACTCATTGTTTGAGTTCAGTCAAATACAAAACCAGAGAGAAACATTCCTGCCAGCTGCAAGTTTAGTCGTTGTTTTGGTAAAAATGATACGCCCCCAAACAAGTTGAATGAACTGTACTAGAGATGCTGGTATGTGTTCATTTGTACCTTTAAGACACTCACCACAGTGTTGTTAAAAATGCTTCATATTGAAAGGCTTATTTGCTTTCTTATCAACAGGTTCAATTAATAGAAAAGCATTTAGATGATGAACTAACAAAACGCATGCCAGAGTTTTCCATGGGTGAATTTACACATCAAATTATGTAAGTATTATTTCATTTAAAACCCTTTCTCATTCTGTTCTTAAATATGTGTTTACTAAACAGCCAAGTTTATATAGACATCACTAAGGATTGATTTTGGCTGCAGTTTTAAGATAGAAGGTTATAATATTGTCTTTTTCTTTTGTAAATAAAAATGTTTGTGATATTGATATACATCTATATCTATATTGCATTGTACTTCATTTGGAATTGCAGTCAGTGTAAAATTTTAGCTCGGAATTTCTACTAGCTCTTCAGAGTCGGCTTTAAAGTGACTGATGAAATATTACACAAGAGCCAGCATTAAAATTGATCATTGTTCTAAGTTAGTGCTTCAGAGTCAATAGAAGTATTAAATTTTAATGCTACGCTTAAAGAAGCTCTTCAAAAGCAGCGTTAAATCTTAGGCTGTATTTAATTTACATCCTGGAATTTGCACATTATTGTTAGCAGTGATTTTTAGCTCCTTTCTCAAGTTAAATGACCAAAAAGCACGAAGATATAGAACAAAAATAAGTATATTATTGGAATAACAACAGATGTTTTAATTTTTATTATTGTATGATGTTTGGATACCATGGTAGACTCGAAAGATTCAGATTTATTTCACAGATTCGGTATGACCAGTGTTTGAATTTGTTATTAGTGTTTGTTTTCAATTGACAGGGAAAGAAAGAACGAACTGGAAGGCGAAATATTTGAGATGCTGTTAACTTTTAGTGACTTCATGGCTTTTAAGGAAATGTTTCTCGATTTTAAAGCAGTAAGTATTAAGGTTTAAATGTATGTGGGAGAGAGCTTTGTTAGCACGAGACAAAAATAGATGAAGCTCCAGTCGATCAAAGAGATCTATCAAGTTTTATTATCAGTTTTTTTTTAAAAAGAGTGATTTTGTAATGAGGTATAAAAAAAGATTTCTGTTGAATATTATATTTACATTTTGTGGGGATGACAGGTATTTCTGATATTTCCATGGAAATTTCTGTTTATTATATTTTCCAAAACAGTAGGAAAATGACAGTGACCTATTAAAATATTATGATATAATAATAACATTGTTAATATACAACATTTGATATAGCGCCCTATCGAGCTAACATAAGCCACTCTAAAGCACTTTACAGTACATAGAGATACAATTAGCATATACATTAACCAATACAATTTTGAGGAATTTGCAGGAGCTGTCTTATCAGTTGCTAACTACTAGTCCTATGCCACCTGGCTAATATCTCCCTTTGCGTATATGCCTGCATGTGTGCTGGAGATGTAATGTGTTCTGTTTGTAGTGGGACCTCGCTTCCAACAGCATCATTTATAGTGCCACCTCACTTGAATGCTATGTCACAGATACCGCAACATCCACCCCAGACCAATTTATACTCCACCTGGGTTGTTGGATATGACATTTGGTGGAACACTACAAAGCACATGTTGACTTTGTATTGTGTACATGTCATTATCTCAATTAACTTTACATTGTATATCATAACAAGAGAATAATTTAGATACAGTTGTGTTATTGCACAACACATCAAAACTACAATGCACACATCATCCACACATAGTGCGCACAACTGTGAGATTTAGCAATCAACGCCCTATTGTGAAATAAAACACACATATGTGTGATACAATAAGATTGGTTGATCACTGTTAAGAAATAATTAAAAAACACCCAGAAGGCTTGAGTGAAATAAGTAGATATATTTTTCGCTTTTTCTAATTTCATTGTATGTTTTACATTATTACCATGACAGTAAAACTGTCGATAGTGTGGTTGCACTGTCAGGTAGTTATATATAGTATAATACGTATATGTACGTCGTGCATAGAGCTGATGGCCGATTAGAGTTCATTAAATAAATGTATCAAAACACAACTGGACCTAATTACCTGTGTTAACTGTATATGTTACACCTTGAATGGAAATTTCACACCTCTTTCATGGTTGACTAGTGATATCACATACCTAAATTATTTTGAAACAACCTTAATTGACAAGTTTGTAGATATATGGTCATATACATGTATGTACTTTACACTGTAAACAACCTTATCTGTTACCTGGTACCTTACCTGTTAATTACCAGGTAACAGGTAAGGTTGTTTACAGTACATACATGTATATGACCATATATCTACAAACTTGTCAATTAAGGTTGTTTCAAAATAATTTAGGTATGTGATATCACTGATATGTCCATTACTGTAAGATAAATCGTTAACCATGTAAATCTGGCTGAAATATGGCAACATACTTAAATCAGGAAAGATATAACTAAATATTAAAGGAACTGTTTTTATTTAAAGGCAATTCCTTAATATATTTTTTTACCATGAAACCTATCGAACAACTGAGCAATTACTATCGCATATAAGTTGTGCAAACGTTGTTATCACAAAGTATTTCATCGTGTGCACATGGTGTACCCCTTCCTCCTCCAAAATAATTCAGGGAGCGTTATAGTCACTGCTTTGTCCATCAATCTGTCCATCTGAAATGTTTGTATGGGCCATAAGTTTTGATTCGCAGAAGTTAGCTCCATAAAGTATCAGAGATGTAGAATAGCATCAGTATATATATATATTTCGGTGGTTTTCCAATGCTTTGTAACTGTTTCTGTTACAGGACAAAGAGGGACTAACAGTGGACCTAAGTGCCGGGATCATGGTTACCTCAATGCAGCAGGGTGGCGGTGATGATGGTGCAGATGACTGTGGAGACGATGGAGGAATTTCATTGGATGACTGCACATTTTCTCTAACGGGACATTCGTTTGGAGATGGACCGGAGCAGAAATAATGTCTATTAGCAGTGTATAAGTGCTGATTACAACATGTCCGTCACAGGTGAAGCATTAATGCTGCTTGGAATGAATGGATCTGTATATGATGGCGGGATGTCAAGGAAACCTTTCTGCCAAAAATTCATGTGTACACAGTATTGAATCAGTGTTTGTGTTTACATGGAGTTGAGACAGTCTCATTACGAAAGTTGATATTGTTGTTGTAGTTAATGAATTCACCGTTCAATGGACACGTCCATATTGAATCAATTTTGTATTGTATGATCATGCACCTTCTGGAGTTTGACGACTTTATTTGTAAAATGCTATTCTAAGGAGGCGTACAATCCAGTAGATTTCTGATGTGACTCCATCAACAACACAATGGTGGATTCATCAATCAAATGAAATCCTTAACATTTCTTTTTGTATTGAAAGATGTTTGTTCCCTGCTCAATCCTAAGACAGATTTATTAGGTCAGTATGAGGTTGTAGGACCATTAGAGATTGTCAGCTGGTTTAAAGGATATATGATAGATACCCTTCTGTGTTTTACACAGTTCTGCTAAAAGAATTAACCTCAAAAGAAAGCTGTATTGTTTGAAATTTGTAGACAGAAATTAATAAAAAAAATAAAAATGAAAACATTGGTGTAAATGAAATGACTTCATTCAAGAATTTTAGACCAAATTTTGTTGCAAATAAAGGTTTTCTCATATAAGTATGCAGTCATGCATATACTATAGAAGTAAAGTAGTGTGATGACTTGTACAATAAATAAAGGAACTATAGTGGGTGTGTAATCTAGTTCCTTTATTTATATATTTATATTTCGTTTGGTGAATATTGTCACAAATTGATAGAAACTTAGGGAAATACTGAAGACTGATTTTTTTTTCCAGTGGAAACTGGAAAGTTTTAGGATTTGACTTTTTTCTGGACAGGGATCATTTCACATTGGCAATGCTGCTGTGTTATAATGTTTTGTAAAATTTCATGCTGATTTTTTTTTTATCAGAAAATTTGTGAAATATTTCTCATATTAAAAGAATATTTCTGGCTCTCCTTAATGAATTTTAATTAATTTTGATAGGATATTAGTTTGGTGACATGTTTGATGGATGTTTTCACAAAAGGTCCTAGGACAATACAAAAGCTTTCATAGAAATACTGCATTTCTAGAAGGCACTTAATTAATACAAAGTGTGTAATCACTAGATATATCCCTACAAGTTATTTCTAACAGGCAGTGGATCCTCGTTATACCCAGCAAAATGGCAGGATTGTGAGATAGCTGACTAACAGAAAAGGCTAATCTGTCCCAATAATACTGGCTGGAGAGTGATAGAAATGGATTAGTTTGGGTTGGATAAATGAGATTCGCCCGTACTGTTAAAACTAAAAAAATAAGCACATGTCTGTATTGTAGGATTGTTTGTGTGATTTCAATATATCTCGTCACTTATGATTATTGTCTGTGCATTGTTGTTATGAGCCTTGCTGAATCTTGATGAATGAATTTCAAAAGTAAGTCTTAGATCCCATGCCCTAGTTCTGTCTTATAACATTGTTCAGTGCAGTCTTAGAATCGCATATATGCAGTCATCTAGTTAATGCTGTGCGACATGTCGCGTACATGTACATGTATCACACTATAGCTGTAGGTACACTTAACAGTTCAAATTCATTAGAATAAACCAAACTTCTTCAAGCTACCTCCAGTTATCAGTTCCATAACAGCTAGAATTAATGAATCAATTAAATGCAAAAAGACATTTTTAGAGTGATTTTCAAGAAACAAATGGTTGTTTTAAAATTTAAGACAATCTTATGAAATTTTTAAGATTTTGAAAGCAATAAAAAATATTTGAAAATTACAACATTTCTTCAGCAATACTTGATACTTGACTAGATTTTTTTTTTTTTAGTAGAATGAATCACCTGTTTTTGAGTTATGCTTCAAGTGACTTCTACTGGGGGATTTTTATTTGTGAAAGAAACCATAGTATGGTTAAATTGCACCTAGATGAACTTTTGTTAAGAATTTGTGGTTCAAATTTGTTGAGAAAATACTGATAAGAACAAATTATACATTGTGTAAACTACAAGTGTTTTACAGTGGTACTCCCATATTTATCGACCAATAAGACGATACCTATACAATAGGATCACCCATATCAATTGTAGTTTAGTAGAAGTGTATCAACAGATACTATTTCATTGTCGTGTGTCACAAGTCCACCCCTCTACGTTTAATATGATATTATGTCTGGGCTGACTGTAGGATAAATGTGTGGTGTAAATACATACAAGGTCAAACGTTTAACAGTCATAATCCTCGATAATATATACCTAGTTGTGTATTGTTTGGGTAGAAATTATCGATTGATAATCAAAATCTCAAAATACCTTGTACTTTATCATAATTCAACCAGTGTACGGTACAGCAGACAAAATGTTGCCCTATTTGTGCTTTTGACTGGTGTCGACGTCGCTGTCCTAACGATGTGTGACTTAGTCTCCACTGCCTTCCATTTATATCTTTTATCTCTCATTGTCTCTCCAGGTCATTGCATCTTTCATTCCAAAACTTACTTGATCTGTTTAACAATACATACATTGTACAAGTATATGTTATTATATTGAACATATACAATTCCGTCCCTAGAATCGTGACATATCAAATACTGTTTTTATATATTTTTTTTTTTCAAAATTAAATAGAATGAGTTTAAAAGCTTGGCATATCTGTCTGGGTGTAACTAATACTGTTTAAGAGGAGGGCATTGTAACAAAAGCAAAGAACGACATTGAAATGAACAGAATTGAAAGTTAATGTTTCTTCATTATAATATTGTTTACAATTTTATTCTCACTCTGCATTGATGTGTAAATTGCATACGAAATACAACTATGAATGCAAATGTTTTCTGTTAATGAAGGTTGGCATTGAATGATTGTAAGATGCATGTGTTTTAGCTATTTGGCAAATCAGTTTTATGATTTATGAATATATTTTCATTGAACTGATAAGTGAATTGATCTGATTGGTCAATTGGTCAAGTAATCTGATTGGTTGACTGACCTTTTTAGTAGAATGATCTGTTAATTTGTTCACTTGATATGATGAGTCAAAAATGCAATTATAGTTTGTTTGGCAATCTGATTGGTTGTTTGATATTGGTTGCAACTATATTGATAAGCACTTTTTCAATTTGATCAAAAATTAATTTGTTTAAGTGGGAAAAAAATCTGAATGTATTCTGTTTGTTAACTGTTGATTCAAATCAATTAATCTGTCTATGATAAGTAAATTTTCCAGACCTCCCCATTTTAAGCAGTTCTCCCCCAAACTGAACAAAACATTTAAAAAAAATCTCTCTTCTAATATTGAATTAATGTTTGTCCCCATTTTTCGAACCTCCGGACATTTTGTCAATACAAATTGAAGGGAGATAACTGAACACTTTTAATAATTTGTTTTTCTTGTGGCCGATTAATGTGATTTAAATTGATAATTATGGGGTCATAAAAAAAGGTACCATGTCTCGTCCAATTTTGGATTTTCATCAATAAAGGAAATAGAAAAACTGTATGTAAGTGATTTGTGGAGTGGAAGTTTTCGTGCGTCAGATTATGTCAGCCTTTGTTTATTTGTATATACATTCTATTTACATGAATAAATTATTATTTAAAACAGTTATGAATTTCTTGTGATATTTTAGTGTTAAGTTTTGAAAACACTGAATTGATTTCAGTGAAAAAACTAAGCGTTTGTGGTCTGTATTTATTAACCATATATGAAAGTTAACTCCTGCTCAGCTACATTTATCACTTCATCACTTGACAAACATTGAAAACTGTCTTTATTTATTTGCAGAATGGTTCAGAATTATTTTATTCATTGATCTGATCAGCGGACACTTTTTCAAAACATGAACACGTGATGGATCAGCCTAAAATTTGAATATGCCTTGATTAACTCCGCCCACTTCAACGGTTGATAATGTCATTAAATTGTCTAATTTACGGAAAATGTACAAAGCTCCGCCCACATGTATTGTTGTTGGCGTAATGGAAACTGGTCAGGTTATGAGGTGATACCTTCATACACCCATGTCATATATTTTGGCGTATTCCTTTACATTATTTTAGCTCACCTGCCCAAAGTCCATCAACTTTTTCTTTAAACGACTTCTGAAAAAACTGACAGGTGTAGAGCCATGATATTTGACTGAAATCTTCCTTGGTAGGAGTGCAACAAAGTTTGCGAATGAAAATGACCTTGACCTACTTTCAAGGTCACAGGGGTCAAATATGTCAAACGACTTCTGAAGAACTAAAACTAAAAAGGTATATAACCTTTATATTTGGCTGGTGGCTTCCTGGGATAGAGCCCAACAAAGTTTGAGAATGAAAATTACTTTGACCTACTTTCACGGTCACATCGGTCAAATATGTCAAACACTTCTCAAACGACTTTTCCTGAAGAACTAAAAGGTATAGAATCTTTATATTCTGCTGGTGGCTTCCTGGGATAGAGCCCAACAAAGTTTGAGAATGAAAATTATTTCAACCTATTTTAAATGTCACAGAGCTCAACAACATTTCAAAGGATTTGTTCTGAAGAACCAAAAGGAATGGATTCATAAGATATGGCTGGTAGCTTCTTGGAATAGAGCTATACAAGTTTGAGAAGGAAAAATAATTGACATACTTACAAGGTCACAGATGCAGCCGACAAAGTTTGCGAGTGACAAATTTGTAGTACAATAAAAAATTTAATGAGAAATTTCCTATGACTGCTTAAATATTCAGGTGAGCGATTCAGGCCCTTTTGGGCATTTTGTTTTTAAATGTGACGACAACATTAATACAATAGTCGTGACATGATTGCATTGTCACATAATGTTATTGACTTATTTATGGGCCTGAATGTATAGATATAGACATTGATTGTTAGCTCACAGGACCCAAACATGCAACTGGGCCTCAATGCAGAGCATGTCGGGAACAATTTACAGTAAGCCCTTGTTACTAGATCGTATCGACTTTCAGTCAACTCGAGATTTTTTTTTATGATAACATTACACGTCTTAAATCTCTTTTCGAAAACAACTGTCTCTTCAAGTTTAGGCTATCTGAAAGCTGTTGGTCGTTTTTAATCAAATTTGAGTCACCATAGCCACTTTCAATATTCAAATTGGAATTTGTCTTTTACCTTTTAAGTTTGTTTGATGTTTTGAGTTTGTATTTGCTTTTGTCGACCATTGGTTGGCCCTAATGACCTATCCTGTGTTAATGGGCCGTTAAACATTAATAATAATAATAATAATAATAACAACTCTACGACGGACTTATATTACTCTGAAGTAAGCATATGTATAATGTACTTTTCAAAGTGCTGTTGTTTAAAATAATTTATTATTATATGCATGATCATCTCATACTGTTGTTAAGAATACAGTACAGATACGCCCCGTGTCCGCAGTTTTATCTATTTTGGTCATCGACAAAGGTCACGGTATCTCTTAGTCTTGACCATATCTAGCGACTGTATTCGTAAATAAATATAGCACCTTAGGTGTGCAGACTTGCCGTTTGTAAAGCAAAGTTCTTATTTGAAGTCAACTATTATTACAACGCCTGCCTTGTCAGTAATATACATTGCACTATTAATTCAACAATGATTCTCGGCGTCGCATCGATGTCTTTGCAAAAATGAAACTTAAGCCATTTTTTCCAGTAACTCTTTTTCATCGGAAATAGCCTCAATATTAATTTTAAATGAAAATTATCTATTTCTCTTGACTTATATTTGATAAAAGATTTCAAAACTTCCGTTAATGAGAGAAAATTGGGTCGTTTCCGTGTATGTTTTCCACAATAAGACAGCATTTGGGTATTTCTGTTCCACCCATACCATTTCAGCCGTGATACCCAAAAACAGCTGAAAGCACAATAAAGCCGATACATGAAAAATGTAAACAAGATGTAAAAGACATGTTTGCGTGTCATCAGGATAGCAGAATTTATTACAATATATAAATTGTGTTGCCGTTTATCATTGCAAGATTCACTGTAGTTCATGACAATCTGGACACTATTTCAGTATACATCTGAGCCACAAGATTGCGCAATATCAGAAATATCAAAGAAAATGTGATCAGTGAATGCAAGATACAAGATACAAGATACTTTATGTTTTGTCGTATATGTGTAACGTGAAACATCAGCTCTGAAGAGCTATTCTTACGACAGAACATATAAAAATATCACAGGGGGTATGATGTAACAAAACATACATTAAGAAACAAAAGCACAACAATATTGAAATAAAAGTATATTTGAGTGTGACTGAGTAAAATTTAGTATGTTACAATTTTAAATAATGATAAAAAAAAATTGTAAAATACAAACGAGTCTGTTTAGATCCTGATTTCTTATATAAGACAAAAATATAAACAATGCAGTGCGTATCAGAGCACCTCAGCACAAATAATCAGAGGACAGGTGATTGGGCATCCCCTACCTAACAAGTCCTCTGATAATGAGCAATATTAGGATCAGCCAATATTAATGAAAGTTTCCAGATATGATAACTACCACCTGAAGTTGTGCATTCTGGTATTATTTCTTTCTGACCCATTTCCGTTCGTCGGCCGTCAACAATTTCTTTAAACGACTGTTTCTTCTTAACCACTGGTTGGAATTTAACTAAATTTGACTTGAAGCATACCTAGGTGGTGGTGATTTAAAATTGTACAAATAATGGGGCTGACCCCCAGGGGCTGAGGGGCGGGGTCAAAAGGGGGCAATTTGGCTATATTGCTTTACGTGACTTCTTCTCTGGAACTAAGAGATGGATATCAACCATATTTGACTGGAAGCATCCCTAGGTGGTGGGGATTCAAAATTGTACAAATGGTGGGGCTGACCCACCAGGGAGCTGAGGGCGGGTCCAAAAGGAGGCAATTTGGCTAAATTGCTATAAACGACTTCTTCTGTAGAACAATGAACTGGATTTCAATCATATTTGGTCAGAAGCATTCATTGGAGGCAGGGATTCAAAATGGTACCAATGGTTGGGCTGATCCCCCGGGCTTAGGGGTGGGGCAAAAAAAAAGGTGTATTATTTGGAAATGGTTGAGATCCCCACCATAAAACCATATATACAATTGCTGAGTGTAAAGAAATGCATGCACTTATGCTTCCAGGATGGCCTTGGGGACTGCCCTACCCTTGGATACTTAACCCCTTGGTCATAACTTCGAAGTGGTTAAGATCCCCACCCCAAACCTATATATACAATTGTTGGACATAAAGAGACGAATGCAGTCATGATATAAGAATAGACCCTGGGGTCTGACCGAACCCCTTGGGACCTAGTTTCTTAGTCACAGCTTGGAAACAGTTGAGATCCCCACCCTATAACCATATATACAATTGCTGAGTATAAAGAAATGCATGCACTTATGCTTCCAGGATGGCCTTGGGGACTGCCCTACCCTTGGATACTTAACCCCTTGGTCATAACTTCGAAATGGTTAAGATCCCCACCCCAAAACTATATATACAATTGTTGGACATAAAGAGACGAATGCAGTCATGATATTAGAATTGATCCCAGGGTCTGCCCCACCCTTGCAGACTTAACGCCTGGGTCATAACTTTGAAATGGTTGAGATCCACACTCTAAAACTATATTTGGCTGGGTAAAAAGAGACAAATGCAGTCATGATTTTAGAATTGATCCTTGGGTCTGGCCAAAACCCTAGGGACCTAGTTTCTGAGTCACAGCTTGGGAACAGTTGAGATCCCCACCCATAACCATACATAAAATTGCTGGGCATGTAAAATCTAATACAGAAATGCTACAAGGATTGGCCTTGGGGTCTGGCATATTCCCTTGGATCTCATTTGGAGAATATTTTGCCATGATTGCTTTGATATCCAGGTGAGCGATACTGGCCCTATGGGCCTCTTGTTCTACCTCCTAAACCACTTGGCCGATTTCAATGAAAGTTTACAGATATTGTAATTACCCCCTGAAGTCGTGCATCAGGGTAGTATTTTTTCATGTCGACCCTTTTTAAGGAGTTATAGACCTTAAACAAACCTATGTCATCACAACTCTTCCTTAACTACTAGAACAATTTCAGCAAAACTGGTTCATCTGCACTAACAAGATTTTGTATGTAAGTACGATGTGGCACTGGAGTACAGGAAGTGTGTTGTGGCACGGGTAGGGAGTACAGGAAGTATGTCAGTGATCTATACTCTTAAATAAGTGTACGAAAGAAAATCATCACTGGTGGGAGACTAGATTGCTTTGCAATGTTTTGCCTTGAGGTAGCCTTTCGTTTACAGTTCTGGTTTATATAGGAGCGGGGTATAAGTTAGCCTTCGGCTTACCGTTGTAGTTATTAACAAATTAGCAATACGCTTCCTTCTCCCTTTCTAATTAGAAATGTCAATCATGCATGTACTTGTCCGTGTAAAACTGATCCAATTAAAATCACATCCCTATTTACAGTCGATACTCAAGTATATTACCTTACACATTATACCTGTGATTTGTGTTAAAGTTACTCACCCTAAGGAAGTATATTACCCAACACATTATACCTGTGATTTGTGTTAAGTTACCAACCTTAAGGAAGCATATTACCTTACACATTATACCTGTGATGTGTGTTT